AATAACCCTTCTTGAGTATTAAGTGAGGCTTTTTATTGTTCACAACTACCTTATTATCTATCTCTTTAAGAAGATTAAAAGTATCAAACTCTTGAAAAACTTTTGAGTGATTTAACTTTGTGAAAATCTTTAGTTCTTCAAGAAATTTCTCATATCAACACTTTGAGCTACGCTATTTGCTATCTATTGAAGTAATTGCCATTCTTCTTTTCTTGTACTCATTCTTTGAATCTATCATTAGATAAGAAGAGAAGATTCTTTACTTGTAAAACTCTCTTGAATTGAGGGTCATATTGAGGTCCCGTAAAGCTCAATAGTTTGGGTCGTGTTTAGGTCCCGTAAAGCTCAACATTGTAAAAGGATCGATGCTCCTTGCATGTAAGTCACCAGAAGCGTTGTAAGGGTTGGATTGCACCATAAGTCAATCAACTAGTGAAAAAGGCATTGCTCGTGCCGGAGAGTTTGGTAACGGGGGACGTAGATCATTGCATTGAATCGAACCTCCATAACATATCGTTTGCTCTCTCTATCCCTTCTACTTAACGCTTCTACTTTGTGTAAACTTACATTGCTTCATTTACGTGCCTACTTGTATTTAGATTACTCATTATCGTTTGCACATTCATTATCATTAAAAATTTTGAGTAGTTAACGAAAAAAGTTTTTAAACCAATTCACCCCCCCCCCTCCCCCCTCTTGGTTAGCCAATCTAGGGCTTTCAAATAAGTCTGTAAGAGTTTAAAACCCGGTGCCCTATAGTCATCTAATTTGAGAGTTATCAGCCTAAAAGTTACTACATGAGTTATATAGAAAGCAAATGAGAAGATGTTTTAATAATAATAATAATAATAGTTGAGAAAAAGCACAATTACATTGATTAAGCCCCAAGACATTTGGTTGATAGAACTATACTTTTGATCCGAAGCGAGTACCTTAGTTTAGTCTTAAAGATTTAGACAGTAAAAAATACAAGAGAATCTCGACTTGTTGAAATGTGAACTTGTAATAGTAAGATTCATCCAAATTAAGTAAGGGTAAGTAGTAAAATTAAATAAATTCAACTTAGGATGCACCCCAAGAAAATTAAATGAAAAGAATAAATTTGGGGGGAGGGGGGTATGTACCTCTCGAGCGAAGAAATGAAATATTTGATTACTACGAGTTAAGAGTTGATCCAATCATGAACTTGATATGTTTACATGAGTTTACACACACATTAAGTTTTGCATGTAACTGGTAGAGGTTGATTTGATTTTGTAATGTTGAATTGTTAATTGTGTTGATAGTTCAATGCCAATCCTGAGACACGAAGGGTTTTCAAACCATGTTTTGTTTGGAGTTAAGATATAGTTTGTTTGAGGACAAACAATTGTTCAAGTTTGGGAGATTTGGAATATGGTATATAAACTATGTTTTGTAGGATAACATCGATGGATATGGTGAAATTTAGGAGAAACAAGCGAAAAATGACTAAAATATAAGAAAACCAAAGTTCAGGGATCAAAGTACAAATAGCCAAAAGATTACCAGAAGAAGATGTGAAGGAGTAAAAACCCAATTGAACAAATGAATTAAATGTTGGAAGAAGAAGAAGTGAGAAAAGAGATCAAGAAACGAGAAAACAGAGTTCGGGGACCAAAATGTAAAAAATGAAATTTTACACGAACTATTATATAGCATAGTTCTTTGAGCCATGCGGTCAAATGGAATGGTTCAGGGTTTTCCGGTGCTGAAATTAGTTGAACTATGCTATAGCATAGTACATTTTCGAAGGAAAATTTCTGATTTCCTTTTTTAATAAAACTCTTATGAAAACAAGGCTGTGAGATAGGGTCATCCATATGAAGTGACCATGCATTACAACACATTTAGGAGCATAGAAGGAGGCCAGAAACACAAAGATCGATTCCAAGACTCGAAAATTCAATTCAAACTTTATTGGGTGATGTCGATTCTTCAATATTTCTTTTGTTTTCATTCTCATAATATGTTAGACTAGTTTTCTTTGTGCTAGGAGAATGACGAAACTTGTAGCATGAATTTTTAATCTTAGTTTTATATATTTAATATTGAAAACACGCTTTTGGATATTGATTAATTTATTTGATTTTCTTTTCTCCACAATTATTGTGCACGGTAGTTGTGTGAATGTGGTGGCCTATTTTATGCATTTGAAAGAAGGGAAATATGTTCGACATATATAAATTGTCATAAGGTCTGATACGGGATAGAAATATACCACTATGATCTATGTGAATTTTTAAGTGTTCATAAAAAATCATGCATTCTTGTATGTTTGTACTCGTCATAGAAATATAGTCGAATCATATATGAGAGTAGGTTTAACATTATTAGAGAGAGATTTTTAAATAAAATAAGAATATTGATTCGTCAAAATTCAATCGTGTCGTCAAATTGTAGAACTAAGGTTAAAAATGATTATTGCATGAAAATTCGGGATCATAGTGCATTTGTCATTTATTGAACACATCAATTTGCATTTAGTTTAGTTAATTTACTCATAATTGCATAAGTAGATTAATTTATTCATAATTTTGTTACAAACAACACATCATATTATTCTTGTTTCAATTAAGATTGCGATAATTAAAATTGAACTAATCAATCTCTGTATCGCGATACTTGGACTCAAAATCTACTTTATTACTTGTTAACGAACTTTACACTTGCGGTAATTTTAATTCGGAATATATTTTCATGAACAAGTATATCCACTAGTGAGCTTGTATCGAATAAACAACAAATCCACTCCCCAAGATCTAAATAAAATCCATTTGCAGCCATCAATTAATCTTGTTGGACGGGGTCATTGACACCCTTTTGACAGGGTTTTAAATTTTTCCACATGTGAAGGTTAGTAATTTGAGGGGAAAATTAACACGTGAGAGAGGAAGAGAAATAAATGTGAGAAAAGTTGTTTTGGAACGCACCCACAGCAGAAAATCAGAAAAATAACACTAAGCAACCTTCATTAAATTTTTTTCCAAATGGAAAATTGTTAGAATCCGATTTGGGGGAAGATTATTTGGCGTAACATCTCCGGCAGCTACCGGTCCGGCCAAGAGAAGAAAAAGTCTGTTAATTAGTAAGTGATTTTTCATCAGATTATTTCGAGACACATCTCTGGCAGCTACCGGTCCAGCCAAGAGAAGAAAAAGTCCGTTAATTAGTCTGTTTCTTACTCATGTTCGATTCTTTACGTATGAAGTTTCTTCTCTTGGCCTGGGTTGAGAAAAAAAAAAACCTTCAAATTAGTAAGTTTAACCAAGTTTTGTAATTCTATAGAGATCTATGAGGTTTTAAAAAATATTTCTTTGAATATGGACTTGGTTAAAGAATTATATATAGTTCTTTAAGTTCTTTAAAGATCAGTTAACATTGATTCTTTGAATATCAGTTAACCAAGTTCTTTAACTATATATAACCAGGTTTTTTTAATTATTTCATTTTAGAAACTGATATATGTATCCCATAAGTTATGTACTAAATTTTCATTATGTTCTAATTTTGTTGATAAGCATATGCACTCTGTTGAAGTAAAGAACATGTTTGAGAATAATTTTGTAACTACGCATCGTAGTGTTAGTTACTGTATTACTGAACGTGACCGATTATGTTATTATAGCCTAAGAAATTATGGACGAAGTGCCAAACGAGCATAATTATGTTTCAGTGGAATCGGATGATGAAAATGGGATGGACTCCATTAACATAGTAGAAAGTGACCTCATTGGGAGATTGTGTGATTGTACCTCAGGTTGGTATGCAGTTTAAGGATTTAAAGGACGTGTTTGACTTGTACAAAAAAATATGCATACGCCGTTGGTTTTCCCGTTAAGAAAAGAAACTCGAANTTTCCCGTTAAGAAAAGAAACTCGAAGATGGGATACGATCAAGAATTGAGATATGTGACACTGACATGTAGCCATAAAGGTCGAAGACTCTGTAACACTAGCGAATCTTTGAAGCCACAATCAACCATTCAGATGGGCTGTAAAGCTAGAATCTCTGCATCTGCAGATATTTAAGGAGCCTAGAGAATTAACATGGTCCGCCTCGACCACAATCATGAAACTAGCCCATCGAAGTCTAGGTTATTTCGATGCAACATAGAGTTAAGCGTACATGTGAAATGCAAGCTACAATTGAATGATTTGATAGGAATTCCACTGCATAAGAGTCATAATTTTGCAGTTGTGGAAGCAAGTGGTTATGAGAACATGAGTTGCGTGGAAAAGGATTGTCGAAATACATTGAAAAAGTGAGACGATTAAGACTTGGAGAAGGAGATGCCGCAGTAATACAATTATACTTTTCAAAAATGCAAGCACAGTGCTTGGGATTTTACTTCAGCATCGATTTCAATGAAGATTCGCTGCTGAGGGTTG